ACCAAAAATTTCATAGGTCACAATTCGTTAGTCGATCACAAAATCAAAATTTTTATTAGTCACAACTCATTTGTCAGTCACAAATCAAAAATTTCATAATTCACAATTAATTGATCAGTCACAAAAATAAAATTTTTATTGGTCACAACTCATTTATCGGTTACAAATCAAAAATTTCATAACTCACAATTCATTAATTAGTCACAAAAACAAAATTTTATTGGTCACAATTAATTTTACAGTCACAACTTAATAAATTATGGGTTACAATTACATTTTTTAAAGTCACATATTATTTGTTGGACACCGATTAACCAATTTATTGGTCACAAACGCCCCACATCCCATCTGACCACCACCACCGTCATCTCACCACCAGACTGCAAAACCACCACTACATCAACGCAAAGTCACCGTCACAATAACTACACCGCCACCACACACCAAACTCTGAAAACCAACAACCATTGCCGTCACCAAAAACCACCACACTACCGCCACCAAAGACAACCAAATAACTGTAACCAACATTTGTGACCACCACTTCCACAAACATCATCGACGAACCACCACTGTCACCAATGTCGTCACCAAAACATCCACCGTCTGTTGCTACTTGCTAGAACCACAAACCATCCATAAACCACCGCACACTGCCACATCCACCACCTACCAACACCAAAAAAATTATATCCAGACCCTAAATTAGAGCAGCGCCCCAATGGCAACAAGCACCACCACTACCCCGACGAACCACCACCCGCACCTCGCCATCTCCGCCACCATCACCACAACCACCACTCCAATGAACCACAACCACCACACACAATCGGCGCCCGTACACAGAACTCACACAAATTAACACCAATACACCACAGATCCGCCACCTCCACCACCTGCGCCAACGACCATCGTCACCACCGCAACCACACCAACCTCCCTAAAACCACCAAAAACATAGAAATCTCGCAACAATCTGTTCGGTCCCCATGCTGCTACCGTGCACAGCAACGCGCCGGTCCGATCTCGCAGCGCCAGAGGCCTTCTTTCGATGGAGCTCCTCCTTCTGCGGCACGGCAGATCGACGACGATTTCATAGTAGTGGCGCTCAGATGATGCTGTGATGATTCCCAACAGCCGTGGCGGTGCCGGTATTGGTAGAGAAGAATAAAGTTCAGAGAGTGACAGTGGAGAGAAGAAAGACAGAGTCTGTGCCTTTTGGGAGGAGAGAGAGTGTGGAGAGAAGAAAGGGAATAAGAATGAAATACGGTGGGAATGAAATCCAGTGGAGATTAATGCGTATATAATTGAGTATATTAGTAAAATAATTATTTTATAAAATATTGATTAAAATAATATTTCTGATTATTGAAATATGAAATTTTGAATCTGATTTTAGAAGGTTGAATGGTTAAAGTATGGTTTTATGTAATTTCCACTTTTTTTTATTAATTACTGTTTAAAAATGAGTCAGGTCACAGGCTCGTGCACTGCTCTCAATTCTCCTCTAGGCCCATGACGTCCACGGGCCAAGTCGCCAAATCAAGCCTAAAGCATGTTTGGTATAAATTAAAATCTAATTTTAATTTAAGTTAAACTCAAACAATTAATATTAACCACATCTTTCATGAATTACACAACTTTTCAAACACACATTTCAAAAACATTTATCACAATCTACTAAAAAATCTAATTTTAATCCCTACCAAACATCCTCCTAATTTGTGGACACGATACGAGATTGTGTGCCTAAGGCCAAGCCGAGCATGTCACCCCTACTTTGTATTCCTTTCTTTTCTTTTCTAAGAAATTTGTCAAAAATACCATTCAAACTTCGTCATTGTCATCATCTTTCTCGCTTTGATCTCCTTATCTTGTGCGATTATGTCTCAAGCATGCGATAGGAAAAACAGTAGAACGTAAGAAAGAATGGAGAGAAGCAGAAGAGGGAAAGAGAACCAAAAAGGAAGAATAAGTTGACAAAAATCGATCATTTTTAATGAGATAAATTTAATTTATAACTAATACAAGGTCGAAATAATATTTAGGAAAACCCTTGTGGTACATAAAAGTTGGTACATAATGGTGTCCACACCCTCACATGAGGGGGGCCCACTTGAATATAAATATTCAGGCGGGCCCCCCTCATGTGTGGGTTGGGACACCATTATGTACCAACCCTTATGTACCCATAGACCAACCCTAATATTTAATAGACTGACAATACTTCCATTTTCTTCCCCTGCCTATCACTGTACATTCCGTCTTACCAAACAAGCCATTTAGGTATGAAACACAGATAATAACACCGTCTTCAGCTGCACTTGCCAAGTACAGGTGAAGCATTGCAAGCATGTTTGGTTAAGATTATAAGCTGCTTTGAAGACTCGACAATGTGCGGAGGCTACGAACAATGGAGTCTATAGCATTACCAGAAACCTTTGTGGCTGTGAATGGCAAATGCTTAGGTGCTTCAGCTCTGTCAAAATAGAACCCACCTGATGTGAGGTTTTCTTTTGGTTGTAATGCCAACCATATAACTGTATCAGCACCTTCCTCACTCGTTCTAAGCTTTCCCGATAACCTGGACAAGTCCGTTAAAAATTATAGATGTTCAACAAGAAAACCATGTTTTTACTAGAACAATTAATACTATGGCAATAAAAAGACATCAAAAGCAGCCCCAGGGGTCGAAGAATCTTACGCATTTGAAAAGCCAGGCATACTCTTGGCAACCCCAGGTGTCTCAGCCCACCCGGGGTGCATTGAGTAGAACCCAATGCCTCTATCCTTGTACATTTCAGCCCACTTCTCTGTCAGTACTACCTGAAAGATAGTTTAAAAATGATTCTTTCCATTACTATAAATGTTAAAACAACTTAAGCCTTTGTTAACCAGGAAAAAAAAAATCCTTGGGGTCGACCACAAAACTTTTTTTGACATTCAGTTCAATCCAAAGCTACCATTACTAAAATGTCCAACAAAATTAAATATTCGGTGACCATATTAAGCCAATTCAACTTTGATCCACCTCTCTTCTGACTCGTTTTACCAGAATTCCATCTCTCTTGTTAAGCTTTATCTTTAGCTAAGCTTAAAAAATACTTCATGCGAGTTTACTCGTATATAAATACACAGTTCAAAATAAAAATAAAAAAGTTTGTTGGTCAAAATTAAAAATAAGTTACTCATTTTAAAGTGATCCCTAACTTACAGTCAATTTAAGTAACTTTTTCACTTTTAAGAAATATAGGGACATATCTAAACAACTAAATGTGTTTGGTACCAAGCAGTTACTTAAACATAAGTTTAACTTTTTAGCTAGGCCAAAACGTAGTTTCCTGCACTTTAGAGAGGACTGATATACTTACCAGTGACTTTAAATATCTATTGAAAAATACTAATACAAGCTTTCATTATGAAAGAGAAGAGGCTTTAGTTTAAATGTCCTAAGTTTTGACAGGTCCAATCACTGTACATACCTGAATTCGCTTGTTCCTGGCATACTGTTCCACTCCGTCAAAATTCTTACCGTTGAACTACAAAGATAAGTTATAATATATCTCACAAGTTCTATAAACTAATAAAAAACTAACAAGCAACTGCAGAAAACTCACCTGTAGATCTTCAGTCAATGGAGCTGTGTACATTCCCCCTGATGACACTGTGATAACACGAGCATCAGGTGCAGCTTTTTCCATCAATGGCAACATTAATTCGGTCATTGTGTAAGTGCCCAGAACATTTACAGCGAAATTCATCTCATATCTGATTTTATAGAAAACAGATATTGCACCAGTTTAAGGTGAGAGGAAGCAGAACGAGAATTAGTGCACATGTTTCTAAATATAAACAAAGATGGCATACCCTTCTGAGGTAATAATGCGCTTATTCTCAAGCAAACCAGCATTGTTCACCTTAATGAATCAAAAATTATTTATATCAGCTTTACAATCATTACAATTTGACAATTAAGATCTATCAAGTGAAAGGATCATATGTTATGAGAAGAATGTAATGCATTAGAAAATGCAAAACCACACATGCTTGCTTGATGGTATGAGATTAAGATTAACCGCAGATGCCAACTAAATTACATACTACGTCCAAAAAGATCATTATACTAGGTGTACATAAATCACGTACCTTAATCTACTTTCAAAAATTTGCAGTTCTTTTAAGATCATAAAAGTGGACTCACCAAGATATGAACAGGCACATCCTTCGAAGAAAATCTAGAGGCAAATGACTTGATATCACTGATAGAAGAAATGTCACACACCTGCCAGCTAAAGTAAATAAGTACCAGAAATATGTTTACATTAAAAGAATTAATGTAAACATACATTGACTTTAAGATTAGGCACGAAACCAAACAACCTCCAAATGAATATTTTTATTGCCTGTCACTGCCTGAATTCTTGAAAAAGCGGCTTCGCCCCTCTCCTTGTCTCGACATACCATATATACTGTTGCCCCACTATACAAATAACGTCAACAAAAGCCAATCGTCTAAGTATTCTTTTAAACATGATCTTGCTGATGTTCAAAGCCATTGAAAGATCTTAAAGGAGTTCAGACATATAATTCACACCGTGAAGCAAGACCCTCGGCAGTTGCATAACCAATTCCCGAATTTGCTCCTGTAATGATGCAGTTCTTCCCTTCTATTCGTGCTTGCATGTCTTCTGGTTCAAACTTTTTTGCGTGTTCCCTAATGTTAAATTGTAAACTGAATTACTAAAAAATCTATGCATAGAATTCATAAAAAGACAAAAATTTCCGAACAAAAACTTCACTTTGAAATTCCTTGCTCAACATCATATTTCCTTCACGAATACGTCTTTTCAAGTTTTCATCTACAATGAAATTTAACCTTGTGTCGCACGAAGAAACTGCCTTGAAAAAGACAACAAAAACAACTACTACAAACTAAGACTTAATCTCAATAATTTCTTTCCGTTCTATTCGTTGCTAGTTTTTTAGAAAATCAAGAAGAAAATGCTAGTCCAAATTTCACATAGAAATATGAAGCTTGATCACATGAAAAAAAGAAAATAAAAATCAAATTTCATCATTATGAACACTCATATCCACCTATGATATAACCAGATACATAATAGAAACCAATATTTCCCCTTTCTTTTTAATAAATCAGCCATAATAAGAGCAAGTGCAACGGCCACACAATTTGAATTATTGAATTCAGAGAAGAACCCATAACAGAATAGAAAGATACAGAACAGTTTATGCAGATAATAATCAAATGGAACTTACAAGAAACCAGATTTGGTGAAGTTTGTGTACCCATATAGGCCAAATGCCATTGATCTCCATGTCTATGAAAATAAGAAAGTATTAGAAGAAAAACGGGAGAATAATAAAAAATAAAAAAAATCGAGTGTTATAGAATCCATTTTCACCTTAATAAGAAACATGGCGAGTGATCGAATTGAGATACGAATTTGAATGTAAAAGGTTGTTCGCATTTTCCCACGAAGACGAATGCAGAAGTACTACGCTGAGTGTAGAATGGTTGTGCTATTCTCAGGCTAGTATTCTGCCACGCAGAGTACTTGTAGACCGTGGAATTATACACGGAAATATAAAAGATTTTGACTTTTCCTTTTCTTGATCACTGCAGTCTGCGGAGAAATAATGAAAAATAAAAAATGAAATATGAATAATCCAAAAGGAACTTTGGTTGGACTCTGCTACATGTACAAATATATTTGTACTAAAAGTTTTATATACTCTCACAATAGGATGGTAGGAACCACATGGCCAAATTTTTTAATGCAAGAGAGCATGCATGTGAGAGTAAGTAATCCATTTTGTCAATCAAATTTTGTACAAATAGTTTTATCCACTTTGGGTTTAAGCAGGGGATGGCCAAAGGATAATATATGACCAAAAAGAAACATGAATGTTCCAAAAGGAATGGTCGAAAGAGCGAATGAACACTCTTTCTTTCACGAGGATTCGTAACGTGTTAAGTTCTTATATTTGAATTCTACTTCAAGTGTCACAAAGTTACTGTCCAGTCACAGTTGAAGGGTACCAATTCAACAAAAGGGAGAGATTCGAAAACAAAATTTACTAAGGCAAATATATAGTAGAGATTAAAATCAGAGTTTTAATAGATTTTAATAAAATTTAATTGAACATGTAATTAAAAAGTTGTGAGTCCTAAAAATGTGATTAAATTAATTAATTGTTAATTTTGTCGTTAATTTTAATCAAATTTTTTTGGGTACCAAAGCGGCAGAGATGGATTTAGGGGGGCTGCGTGGGCTGTAGTCCCCTGCCCCCCAACTCAGGGCCAAGAACATTTTTTTAAGGCATTTTTCATTTTTTTTAATTAAAAAGTTAGTTTTTTATGTGTAAATTTTTTTTCCCGCATAGTAACCCGTTTTAAAATTTTGTAGCCCGATATTGGATTTAATCCTGAATCCATCCCTGTAAAGAGGGGCTAAATAACATGTGCATGATAGTAACTTCGAATCCCAATAGAATTATTCTTGAAAATTATTGCTTCTTGCAAGGCTCAATATTAAGACATGGAAACATTTACGCAGATAATGTTCAAGATTTATGAAGAACAAAAGTTGAGCTTTCACCGCTCACAAGTCACAATCAGTGTGGAAAATCAAAATACAGTCTATCTACAACCTCAATCTTGCGATAACATGGAAAAATAAAACAATCCCGTCTTAATCTTGAGTGCTTAGTACTATAATACAAGAAGACAAATAACGACCTAAAGAAAGTTACACGAACAAAAAGTTGTAGATGCTTTCAAATCAATTGCACGCTC